TTTTCACTCGCAGCGCCCACAGTGGATGCCTAGCGTAGGCCATGACTCACACACTTTATCGTGTGAGGCAACTCAAGGTTGCAGGCACTCCGCCCCGTAGGGCCAAAAGCAAGTGCCGTGCCACGCCCGTTGCGAACAACCAAGCGACGTGACACAGCTGACAGCAAAAGTTGTGTGGTCCGAGCGCCGCTAAAAGTCCGGCAAAACGAGTCCTTGTTTTGACTAGGACCACAGAACTACAGAAAACTAAAGAAAGCTACAGGAAGCGAGCTAAGTACAACAAAAGTGCAAGGCATACCTAATGTATGCAGGCAGTGCTACGCACTCGCCAGCCGTGTCTACCCCGCAACCCTGTAAAGGCGGGACAAAGAGGCGTCCAAGCAACGTTTGAAACAGCTTAGACACTCAAGAAGTACAAGTAGTACACTGTACAAGCCCGTCTACTCAGCGTTGCTGTCACAGCAAAATGCCATGACTCACACGGCGTGAAAGCACTCAGAAAACGTCTGCAACTTCATCATCGGGTGCTCGTCTACAGAAGAGCAAGTAGACCTCACGTGAGCTATGTTTGCAACCAGCGCGATAGGCAAAAGGAAGGGCCTTAGCAGCCGAATCGTCGTCACAAAACCAGAGCTGTTGGCCTGTTTGCCAATAGTTGGTGTAGTGCCCAGCTTGCATGTTTGGCCCATGATGCAAAACAGCGGCATGGACATGGTAACAAATGTTTGTGGATTCCCTGTCCTGGCCTGTGAATGCTGGCATGTGCAGCCTGGGAGCCCAACGAATTTCACTCTCGTCTTTCTGTGAGCCGCCCGCCTCACGTGCGAAGCGAATCACAAGGATCTGTGGCGGCCTGCGGAGAGCATGAACGGCTGCCTGACTGTGCCATTGATGTATCAGGTGTTGGCAATCATGTTGTTCAGAGCCATCAAGTGTGAGCGAAAGGGTCTGAATGCAGTTGCCAAGCTCGGTTTCATGCGTTAAGTCCGCGACCTGTGTGCGTGCACTCCACTCCCCCACAAAGAGTGATGGCAAACACACCTTAGGTACCACAAAGCTGTAGAATTCTGCGGCGTCGTGCTGTCTCGTGGGCTCGCGCCAGGTTTGTAAGGTAAATCTCCACGCCAGATGGCTCCACAGTGAATGCCGCCTGTCACTATGGTCAAGAATGGTCTTCAAAGCTGCAATGCCCTGCCTGTTGAAAAAGCTCGCATCATCCCCACCTGTCCGACTGAGCCAGAGCAAACATCTGATGACTGAGTTCGCATAGCAATAGTTGGCATTGTTGACGAGCCGTAGCCTCAGGAGTGGAGCATGTCGTGGAGCTTCTGAATGCCCGGGGAGCGTTTGAAGCCCTCCTTCTTGATCTGAAGTCCCACCCCCTGCAGCGCACTCAGCCCTATCAGCTGACACAGCTTGTTGTACATCTCGTTCGAAGCGGCCGTCCTGAATGACACGTCCAGGATAAAGGTCACCAGGGGTCCCTTTAGCTCTCCTAGGATGGGTCTCGTCGCATGGAATCTGGAGATTGTGTCTTGCGTCGCCAGTGCTTTGAGCTCCTTGAGCAACGTCAGCAGAGCCTCGTGGTGCATCGGCTCCTTCTCGCCATCCACCTTCAGCACCTTGTTGGTGTGATCCCACACCTGGTACGCCCATTGGCCTGAGCTGTTGAGCCAACCCTGCTGAGTGGCATGCTGCATGGGCTCCGCTTCCCGGGTGACCTGCTCGACATACACCACGCACTGATGCAGCAGGGTCCACAGCAGGGTTGAGCGCAGGCTGGTCATGGACATGGGGTTGTCCGGCTTCGCAGCTCGCTCCTTCCAAAGCTTGGCGGCTCCCACGATTTTCGGGAGGAGCACTGCTGGCGATGTCCGAACCCACAGCACAAAGCCTGTCGACTGTCTCATGACCGTGATGGCCTCGTCCTGGCGAAGTAGCAACCTTGCCATGAGGAGCATCATTCCCTCGTTCAGGCCCTCCGGCTCGTCCGCACCCACCTGTCGCTGAAAAGAACGCTGCGATCCCCCCGACCCGTTGTTGGCCCCCACTCTCCGCCCGGCTTTCGGCCGGTGTCCCTTGCCCTTGCCGTTGTTGTTGTCGTCCGTCTTGGCTGCCTTGTTTGGTCGATCCTTGTCCTGCTCTTGTTCCGTCGTCACGTCGTGGACCCGCTTCTGCTCTGGTAGCATCCCGAACATGGTGCGTAGCTCCGTCTCCACCTGTTGGTCCTCCATGTTCACTGTCCACGGCTAAACTGGATTCACGCCCCCCGATGGCCTCCCACGCTCGAGCCAGCGCGCTTTGAAAGATGGCTGGGCACGCGGATGCGTGCTGGTCTCTGCGCCTGTAACTTCCACCGCAAAGCTGGCACTGCTTTTGGAGCTGTGATGCCCATGCTGCGCACAGTCGGTCCACATGCGGCATGAGCGATGCCCACAAGGAAGGGTGTGCGTCAGCCATGTGTTTACGCATGCCCCTGGCCGTGAGTTGTTTGCGACAAACTTGACAATGCATGCCAAACTGAGCTGCAAACTCTTTCGAGGGAAGGGCTTCGGTCATGACGATGCCCGGCTCAGTCCGCTCAGTCTCCAAGCCTGTCGTCATAGCCTTGACCATAGAGAACTGGAACAATATGGGACAAGAGTCTCTGTGGTCGGCACCTTTGGTGGTGCTTGCGCCGCATAATCCACAACGCGCCTGCACTCGGCTGACATGCTTGCGCCTCCACTGAAAAGTGGCAGCTCGATGCGCCTCCATATGTTCGCCATGTACTCGGGTCCAATGCTGCTTGGCATATTTCTCACTCGGCATCCATTGTCTGCAAATGGCGCAATGATTCTTAAGCTCCGCACGCACGTCACTGTCCTGCTCGAGGGTCTCGAGGCTCTGGTCGATCGTGCCATTCTGTGCCTGCTGCAGATAGGAGAGCTGAGCTGTCGGTGGCAGCCCCTCAGGATTAAGACTGATGGGTTTTTGGCAATGGTGTTCCTGAATGTGCTTTTGGAGATCCGCCCATCTTGGGAATTCTTTCTTGCAACCTGAGCATTGTGGCAGGCCGTTGGTGCCGTGAAGCTGCCGATCAAACTCTGCTAGTGTTTCAGGTCGCTGCCCACGACGATGTACTCTAGCAATGTGTTGTCTGAGCCCCTCCGCATAGTCAAAGCTGGCATTGCATTCCGGACAAACATGTGTGTCTGCGGTTGCCTGGTCCTGCGAAGTCTCTTGAAAGAGCTGGCTCGCCTGTTCCTGCAGTTGTTGTTCATGTTGGCATATGACCGGC